TTGGAGACACTAGCACACCAGAACTCATGCTGGCAACAAATTCACCAACAGGGTCCTATAATTCAGATTTTAGTACTACACATGTTGTAAGTTAAGGGTTCATATAGGCACTGAGCAAAATACACCTTCTGAGACTTGGAAAAAAATCCTATGCAGCTAAGACACAGAATACACCCCATTTATAGCTACACGAAAGATAGGCAGAAGAAAAGTCCTTCTCACTGTCACTGTCTGGCCACTTACTTCTCCGGTCACCTCAGCCCTGCTCAGAAAGCTCTTTGCAGTGTGCAGGGGAGAAGAGCCGGCTCTCGCACCGCGCCGCTCGGGAGGCTGCACCGGCTGTGAGAGACGACAGCCCACAGAGGCTGTGATGGAGCTTTCCCCCAAATCTGAAGCTGGAGAGGCAACACAGAGTCAAACAAAGAATGACATCTGCCCTCCCGTCACACCGTCTGCCTTCCTCCGAGATCAAGCAGTGGGGAGGGGGGAGTACCAGCAAAATATACATATAAAGGGACTATATATTTTCAGAGGACGAGATGGAGCACTAGCTACAGTAGTCCCACATGAAAAACTCCCTTTGGCAACACCCAGGGCATCTGCAGAGAAAGCATCACAGTCTGAAATTTGAAAATGCCAAACCACACGCTCTCTTTATAATACAGTCATTTACTAAAAGCAAGGGGGGGAAAAAAAAACCCAACAACCCACACCCCACATTTAATCCTTGATCCTTTCATACAAATCCTGAAAGACAGAAGGTCTGTATGCACTGGAGGCCAGACAATTTGCAAGTTTATAATTCTACTGAGAATTTTCAAACGCAGGAAGAGGAAGGAAAGATTCTGTATCTCCTTAACCTCAAAGGATCACAAATATAGCTAAAACAGAAATTATACCCCACTCCAGACTGCATTTTCCTTTCTATATGCATTTACCATTTCTAGCTTCCTTGCTCATAATTTGTAGAGCTTGCACACTTGGTGCTGTTTCTTTTTAATTCGTACACAAGCCCTCTATAGTCTCCTGCCTGGTTCTCATTTTGAATATGCTCTCATGTAGCAGCCAAACACTCATGAAAAGCCCTGTAACACATTCACTTGGTATTCCCTATAGATGAAAAACAGCCTTAGTAAAGAAAATTCAGCTATAAGCTGTTTAGTCAGAATTTTTGAAGAAGCCACTGTGCATTCATTACAAAAATAGCATGACTCCTAAGAAACAACCAGAGTCATAATTATTTCGAAACTCCTCCTCAAGACTATAGGTGTTGTACACAGGATCCTACTACATTAAATCAACTCCTTTCTCTATTATTTTTCATTTATGTAAATGTTCTAAGGTCTAATGCCCATCTAAAGGCAATGCACTTATTCCTTCAATTAAAACCCTGGATTATAAGTTTCCTATTCAGGTTAACAACCCTGCAGGAAGCTGAAGCTGGAGACAAAAAACTGACACAATGGCACTCACCTAAAGCACAGAGAACTGTATTGCTTTGAGATGCTTCAGAGATTTTTCTCTTGAGCTGTCAAAACGAAATTACCAGAGGAGCTGCAGACTAAATTTGGACTCTCCAGAGCTGCATCCATCCATAACCTGGCCTTTTTGGCACAACACTACTACAGCAGGCATTCAGAAAGCTCAGGGGACACTGCACTTTGCTCGGCCTACTTAGCAGAGACAAAAACACATCTAAGACTCCCAAAGAATACAAATACTTTATGACTAAGCCAGCCTCCTCCTTTGCTGCTTCTCATCCTGGCAGCTCTGTTCCTGTAACTGGCAATTGGGGAATAGGCTGGTATTGCTCCAGCATGTGTATTATCAAAGCTACTTCTCCACAGTAATGAAAAAAAATAAGGTCTGATAGCTTTATCTGTCTTCATTATGAACTGTCACATTAAGATTTAGGTATGCCCTGAATACAGCCTGCAGTAAAGGCAGAATGTCACATTATTCCTTCTTGCTTAAGCTCAGAATGTCCAAAACTATTGCTAGGTTGGCTGCAAAACGTGGGCGCCCATGAGGTCTCACAGCCAGGTGCTGAACACAGGTGTATGCCACGTTTAGGTTGCTCATGCCTCCTAAAATAACACCTTTGAGCTTTTCATTCAAACAGCATTGCCCCCACTTCCCTCTCCTGGTTTTTTTTGGCTTTGCATTTAGATTTTTCTGGCCTTTCAATTGTTCCTTAATAACAAAATGAACAAGAACTGAATAGTCATATAACAGCATGACAAATCTTAATGCTTTTTTCTAAAAAAAGAAGAAAACGTCCATACAATTTTACAGTAGGTTATAAAAATTCAGTTACAGTGGCTCTGCAGCACCCTGTTAATGCTGTGAAATGCTTCACAGTTGTAAATGGTTTCCCACATATTCCTTCTCTTTGATGTCCTGGAGAAATCCTGATATTTTATGGAAACTAACATTAAGCTGCATGAAAGCTGCCGATGCTTCAAGGACCATCAGCAGAAGGGATGCCAGAATGAAGGAAGGAGTTAGATCAGCCGTTCTCAAACTACGGTCCGTACCGTGCTTGCTGGTGCTCTGCCTGTTAGCTGGCTGATCACTTGTGCTATTGTTTCCCTCATTTCCATCCTGTAAACTACACTGGAAGTGCACTAAATAAACTATATGTACGTTAAATAAACTACTTGGGAGTTTACAGAGTAAACTGTATTAAATACAGAAAGATTCCCAAAGCTTCTTGTCCACCTGTCTTCAATCCCTACACATTCATGTCCTGCACGTGAGAAACAGGCTACACAGTCCCAAATGGAAAGGACCTAGTCCATAAGAGCACTGCGCTCTCGTGTCTGCGATAATCTAGCTGAGCTTCCATTCGTCAGTTCAGAGAGTAAAGTCCTCCGGAACACAGGAAGGACTGCACTAGAATGCTGCTTCAGATAAGGACCTAGTAAAGCTCCTTCTGGGATTGCAGTGAACATTAACGCAAAAATAAGAATGTGTAAGTATCAAGCCAGGTTTACAGCTTCAATCTGTTAGGATATGAATGTAAAAGCACCATGTAACGACAGGAACCAACACAACTTGGGATGTCTAAAGGAAGAAAAGATTTAATTTTATGCAGGATGGAGCAAGAGCTCTAATGAGACAACCCTTTTTCAGTTTTTCCCTTGTGGTGTGTCCCAAAATCCTCACTGGAGGTCACAGAAAAAGCTGTATAAGCAGCTGTGTGAAGAAACGGAACGGTGGGTTGGTGACAATTTCCATGTTTTTCTCCTGCTTGCCCCGCCCAGCTGAATTCTCTTAATCTGATCTTCTTAAATATCTTTAACTCATGGTATTCTGCATAATCAAAGTTTTCTTAGATCACCTCTCCCCTATTTCGAGAAAGGATTTTGATGTTGCTTTGGGTTTTTTTTTTAATTGCCTTTTTTTTTCTGTAAGCCCACACACATGTAGCTTGATGGAGAATTCACTTCAAAAGCTTCCTTTCAACTATTTATGAGCATATAAATAGCTATGCAGGAACAAGTCAATAACTTGTCTAGTGTGTTTCCTGTTTCAAACAATGGCAAACGTTGGGTATTTTGAGATAAAAATATCCCTTTTCTTGTATCTTTCTATAAGTGTGTGTGTATATCTATATATATCTCTAGATAGCTTACATCCTTATTTGCACACGTGTGCACACACATCCCCATGTGAGTATTTTCCTTATGTATAATTGACCAAAAGAAAACACTTAGGCTAACTTCTGGATATGTAAAGATAACAACAGCTAAATATAACCTTTCAATTTCAAGTTTATTAACTACTACAAAGATTATTTCCCACGTTCTATGTCTTTAGTTATTTCGCTTATTTACACGCACTTTAATCTGCACTTTTTTCAACCTTAATTTTACAGTCATTGTGCAAGCCTGCTTCTGCAGTTGAGATTTGTTTTTTAAAATTTTAAGAGTAGGCTATGAGGCTATCATCCTCAAAGGATTTTCTGTACTTTTCAGGGAACATCTGAGACAGCGAATTTACCCAGAATGGTAAGTAAATTCAAATATAAGGCTGTAAGACCCCATTTATGTATTTCAGCTGGACCAGTAAATAGCTGAAATGTGGTAATGCGGTTTCAGTTCTATGTGCTTAGAGCATTGTCTTCATAAGTAAGATATTCCCAGCATGTCAGTTGTCTGGAAGTAGCAATCTAAGTTAGATCCCCTCCAACACAAACATCTTCAAATTTAAAAATCACAGTAGGAAATCAGAAAGAATCACTCCCCAGGGGCATCTGTATTCTCACTGAAACATCAGCCTTTGTCTGTGTCATTTCTATTCATCATCTAGTTACAGACCCTGTTGTTTAACACAGTATCTTGTAGTTGCCACTCTGATTAACCAAAATGTCCAAAGTATTCAAAACCATTACCCCTTTTTTCAGGGCTCATTACCAAATTTACTTACAACAAGAGTTCAGTTACATTTAAAGAGAAACAGGCAGATTTTCTTGACAAACTTCTAAAGCCCTCACAGCAGCTAAAGGCTCATTTCCTCAAACCCATGTTTTTCTTCACAATCACGCTTGTGCTCTTTTCCTGCAAACATCAGCAGGGATTTGAGGACCCTTACCAGGAAGGAAATGGTACTGGAGAATTTTGTTCACCCAGGGTGTCTCCATTTGTCTCTTTTTCAGCTATGTCCACTTTCCATTTGAAAAGATACCACCCCAGTAGCTTTAAAACACAAAAGCTTATCACTGTATTCTTTTCTTGCTTAGTCAACCTTTTTATTATTTCTGTGTATCTTCTGCTACATTCGTCCCATTCACCTCTGCATTCGCTGTGCTTTCCCCAGGCACCTTATCTTTCCAGGATTAACACGAATGCAAAACCACTTCCTTTGCACATACATCAGTCCCTTTTTCCTCAGAGTAACTGGTTTATGTCCAAGTTAAAAGTTATCTATTTTCAACAAATCAGACTTTTAAAGTGGTTTTAAAATAAACATTTGTAGAGCATACTGCACTTTCTTACCTGAACAGAGTTGTTCAACTTTTGTGTAGTTTAAAGCTAATATATCATTAACCCATGCGATGATGTCATGTCTGCTCATAGTCTCTTGGGTTATAGAGGTAGAGTACACGTTGACCGCCATTCCCCAACTAGGAAAAAAAAAGACAAAAAGATATTTTAGACATTTTGGTAATTGTTTTCTGGATACAATGAATTCACACTTCCTGTTCAAAAAAAGAAAAAGTTGCATCACTGCACAACTTCTCTTACTTATTGAGAAAGGAGGCTTCATTTTTGTTCTTTGATGATACGTAACTTCTTCCATGTCCTCTTGGAATTTATGAACACATTTGTCTGGCTATCACTATGAACTTAAGGACCATATAAACCTATGGTATTCTGCTTAATGCTAATATGGTAGGAAAAAAAAGAATCAGGCATAGCCTAGAGATACACAGAATCAGAGACCTGGGATTTCGTCATGTAGTGTGGCACAGATCTAGTAATCTCACATCCATCCATCAGTTTTTTGCCACTGCAGGACGATCAGAGCCCCTAAACCAGTATTTAATTGTCAGATTGCTTCTAGAAGATGTAGCTGTTCTACTTACCCAAATAACTAATTTTTTACTGGGACAGGGGCCTCTTGGATCATTAACTCAGTTCCTAACAGTCACAGAATGAATACCAGAAAAATCTCTTTTTATTAATGTACCAACCTCTATCCTGAAAGTAACTGAGACTTGCACCCCAAAACATCTGCTTGGAAAGTGGCTGCGGAGCCCAATTCCTCTAAAATGTTAGGAACATTTCCTCTCACCTTAAACCCATTTGTTTTTCTGCCAGCATTATTCCTCCAGCTCTAATGGCTTTGTCTTCCCCAGAGCAGATTTCATAATGCATTAGGCACAGCATTCACACTCTGTCCCAATGCCCAGGTAGTCTAGATTAAACAAATCAATCCTCCGAGTGTCTTATCAAGTCAGACTTACTGCTGATGCCAGCAGTCCGCCTTGAACACAGCCAAGAGCTTCAAACTGTGTTCAGATAACCCTTCACCAAGACCTTGGAAAGTGGCACTCTGTGCTGAAATTTTTCATAGCCACATCATCTTAGATTCCTCTAGTTAGCCAAGGTCCTTTCCTGCAAGTAGGTAATTCACAGTCGCTTTTATCATCAGTCCCCAAGTGCACAGACTGGAAACTCATATTGCTGGATTTTATTCCCTGTTATTCTACACGAGTCACATCTTCCTGTTGTGAGACATCACCAAGAGAAAAGACGAGAGCACATTCAGTTTCATCTTGCCAGTAGTCCCAAAAACCTGGACAGAGATCATTCACAAAAAGAGCAAATGATGTTCCCAAGACTTCCTGAAGTCCACTAGTGACACTTCAAGTATGAGGTGTCTCAGAAATGATCAGATAGTCAAAGCTGCACTATTATTCTTGGAAAGAAAGGGTTTGGTAGGGACTGCACACCTCAATCTCTAGTGACACCCTGTAGCTAAACACTGAACTGCCTAGCTTTGGTGCCAGTCCTGCCACCTCAGACTTGGACCTCAACCTTCTCTCTCAATGACAGCGAGCAGGATCTCTGTGGGATCCTAGGTCTGCATGGACTCTTTCCATTGAGAGCTTGCAGAGATATAACGATTTGATGCTTAATTGATGCAGAGAACACAAAGACGGCAGGTTAACTCCACCCATAGTTAGGGATGCCGTAGCAACCTAGATAAAAACATGTGGGAAAAGACAGCAGCACAAAACTTGACTTCGTAATGTGTAAGTGTATAAGTACATAAACCAGATAAGAAATTTAAAATACAAGATTACAAACTTCATAATATAGGTCACTTTAAGAAACAAATTTCAAACAGAAGGTTGTTCAAACTGTCCTCATCTACTGACATTAAGATCCAAAACAAAATCCTCAAATTTGCCTTATTGGGAGGGCAAGGAAAGGGAGGGGGAGAGACAGAGAGAGAGAGAGAAAATAGGCTCAAAAAATTCATGCTCTGATAGCCAGGCTACTGCTGCCAGCAATTCATTCGTAGCAGGCTGCCCCTCTGCCCACTTCTGTACGGGCACCTCCGAAGTCCGGAAGACATCAGCCTGACCTCAGTCTGTTCAGTTCTTGCTGCAGAGAGCACTGCTAACCGTATGAACATAGCGCTGTATTCACTGTTAACAGTTAGCAAAGGTCGTTTTCTTGGCACAAACTAAGTGCTTGGATTGAACCGAGTGCTAGGAACAAAGCCTTAGGAATAGGGAGTGCCTTTTTACTCTTAAAACCACACCATAACAGCTAATCATGAACATCAGGATGGAAGAGGGAGTGAACAGGCAAACACCACCTTTGATACTAACGGCATCTGAGGTTTAAAACATCACTGTTAGCATGGTTTTTACTTCAGTATTTTTAGCTTTTTTATATAGATAAGAAACTAACAGAAGGATATTACCACTGTCACTATTAAAATAACATGTTCAGAATTGTTTGTATGATCAGTTCAAGTAAACAGCTTAACAGTGACTTTAATATTTGTTTAATATGCAGAACAGCGAGTTTAATATTAAAACCAAGAGATCAATATGGAATAGTCCACTCACTTCTTAAGACACTAAAGATACTTAGATGCTAACATTTAAAATAAAGCTACTTTGATCTGTAATTGCCACTACTTCATCCAAATTTTAATTGTCCTCTTGAGACCAGGCAGAACTGAGAACAACCTTCAGCTAACAGTAGTGAAAGCAGCAAGTCTACTCTGTTAAAAAGATCAAGAAAATCCACAGGCAGGAAGGAAGCATACATTTCCTCATCATCCTCTTCCAAAAGCAACTGGAAAGAAGAATACCTATACTACTGCAAGCGACAGGAGAGCAACCAACCTCCTTTGCTGCAGTGCAGGGGATGGAAAACTCTACTTCAGGAAACAGCAAGTGAATAACCTTGAGTTTTACAACGATACCCTGAAGGATACCTGTAATACAACTGTGTCTGCAATGGAATTATTATGGTCTGGGGGTCGAATAAAAGTTCAGGTTATTTATTAGAGAGAATAGCTTCACATTCATATGCACAGGTACGTACGAGGATGGATCAATACAACTTTAAACTTATGCAAAATGAATCAGAATTTCTCTTAAAAATTCAGTAACGTGCCACTGTCATTTATTTTCAGTGTCTTTTTAACATGTCTTAATCTTCCACGGTCTCTTGTCTTGAAAGCGTTCACCGTGTCTTTGCTTCTTCTGTCCCTCACCCTCCCAATGGTTACGTTTTAAATAAACTCAGCTGGGAAAGGTTTCCTTTACAGCAAGCATGTTTAATTTGGTGCTCAGATACACACATATCCTGTTTGCCATGCAGACAGACCTCGGGGGGGGAAAAAAAAAAAAAAACCACCACGAACTGCCAGGCATAGGTAGCAGATGCCATGCTCAGCAACAGACAAGAACCCCTGCGCTCAACATCCACAGCTGGGCCCGGATTTTCTCTAGGACTCAGTTCCCCATGCGCTGAACTGTTTTGAAAAATGTGATCCAGGTTCAAAACACATAGTAATAAACATCTGTAAGGCGATGCAAGAGAACAGCTGGACAGGTGGAGACGCACAAGCTGTACTCTGAACAGCCAAGTAGCTAACAACTTGATTTAGTGTCCTAATACACTACTTCTTCCCAGTAACATTATTTACATTTTCAACTTGCTAGGCTTTCCCTTGTTTAGACTGAAGGCTCTCAAGCATAACATTGCAAGGAGGCTTACAGAAGCCTAAAAAACAGCATCTACCTGAGCTCTTCCACCCTCCACAGAGATGCCTGGCAATTGTACAGTAACTAAAAGCAGATTGAAGACAGCACATCATATCCCCCCTCACTTCAGAGCACACACAGATGGAGATTAAAAACCTCTGGCTGTTACAGTCCTGTCTCACCACAAAGGTACCTCCCTGGCTTTGCTAATAACAAACTGAAATTAAAGTCTCCAACAAACATGAACAAGCCATAGCTGAGTTTTCACATATTGGGCCACACCATTTCAGAAAAACCCTTCATACGCACCACTAAGCACCCCAGACCCGAGTTCAGAGGGTTAGCTAGGTGCTGAAAATCATGCATGCGCTTAAGCAGCTTCCCCAGTCAGAAATACACTGGCTCAGCATGTCCGATGGCAAACGTCACACCCAAAAGAGTAGTAATTTTTAAGGCATTACATCCAGCACAATGTTCAGCTATTATTTTCCACTTCTCTTGCTACAGATAACTGCAGCTGTTTACAAGGTGCTATCCAGCTGGGTTTAAGGACACTTTTGCAAAAGGCACATTCACTCTGTTTTTCTGGGGAGAAACTAAAAGTGGTTGGCAGCAGAAGCTGCATTATGACAAACCAGTAATAACAGCAAGACTGGAAGCATTACAGCAGCAAATCTGTCTGTCGTGTAAAACCTCATCGCACGTGCCATCACCTCGGAGCCTGCAAGATTTTCCCCATTTGTGCAATTAGACACAGTATGACGTTAAATTTTTAAACGCAGTAGAAAGCCTGTATGACAATACAAAAAGGAGCTTTCTGGAAGCTGGCATCTGATAGCATCAGGATAGATACTGCCTGTAAAACAAAAGATCTCACACCAAAAATTACTGAAGCGGAAGACAAAGCAGAAAGGCTAAGATGCAGCCGAGTGAGGCTGCTGTAGCTCCTGTTGGAAAGGCTTCCTAGATTAAAGCTATTGCAGAACAAAAAGCCCTGAAGGCAGAAACCTGCCAGCCTCGGTAGCTGCATCCCTGCTGAAGGAAAATTCATTCTTTCCTATCATCTTGAAACGGTAGCTGATTGGCAGCTGGACCTCGCCTGCTTCTTTAACATTCACTGCATGCATCCTCAGCCGTAGTCATTAGACGCCAGTTATGCTCCAGGTTGTCTTTACTGAAGGAAGTCCTGGGGACAGAAAAACACCACCAAAAGCTGGTGCACAATGCTGACAACACTGTACAACACTGTCCTTCCTCTCCCATTTGACGTATGCTGTACTCCTGCAGCAAATTCAATGGCCGTGGCCTCAACCTCATGTCAAAGCACTGCAACTGAAGGGGTATTTGTAGTAAGCAATGTAAAGGCTCTATCTAGTCAGAAACTCAAA